TTCAAAAATGATAATCAAAATGAATGGTTTACTGTGAATATCCCACGTTTAGATGAAGAGGGAAGACATAATCATCCTATAAATATGATCAATGTTGAATCGCAAGAAGATGCTCTACACCATGTTGGATCAATAGTTTCTAAACTAAATGAAAATAATCCTGAGACAAAAGTATATTTCCATTCTACTGATCACAAAAGTGCTGTTGATATTCTAGAAGACAGAATTGAGCTCGGTTTTGGTCAAGACAAATCAGACTTCTCTGATGGAGAAGGGTTCTACATGGTAAATAACGCAAAGTTCTCATTAGAGCAATATGGATTGAGCAGTACACATCCAGCTATTATCATGTTTGATGTGAGTCCTCAAAAACTGAGCAAGTTTAAAGGAATTGATTTATCCAGTGCTGAGAAAGAAGAAGATTGGAAATTAATTGTTGAGTATTTTCACTCAAGTAGCCATGGTATTGGTAATTTACCCAAGAATTTGTTCTCACACATAAGACAATGTGATTACATCAGAGGTCCTGTTTCTATAAATGGTTCTGTTGAAAATAACACATTATCTCAAGGTGTTGAACAAATTTGCATAAAGAAACAAGAATTGGCCAAGGAAATTGGGCATCCATCATCAATTTTAGGAGTGATTTTTCTTAAAGCTCATCAAATGACCTGAAGAACTTTAAAATGACTCTGGCCCAATATATTAGAACCTTGGTACTAGAGATTATCCCATACAAGAGACTCGTATTGAAGAATTCAATTGTTCGCCTTATATACCAAAAGAACTTTAAATTGACTTTGGCCCAATGTATTAGAACCTTTACATTTAGAAATAACCCTTCACCTTAAATGTTTTATAGTTTTACTATCCTCATTTCAATTAACTGTAAGACGTTTATCCCTATTTGTATATTTAAGTATCACATTTTGTAACATATTCATTTGCACTGATGATGGCATAAGTTTTCATGTCTGTAATAAAAAAGTTTGTTTTATATATTCAGTTTATTTCAATTGTGCTTTTACGTAAACATATTTTTAACCTTGATCATTCATCAACAAGAGCCTAGCTAACTACTTTGTGTTTATTTTGTCAGTTCTTCTCATTATGCTGGCAAGCCAACAAAGGTCAGAGGGTTGAAATGTTCTTGTGAATCCTACTACCATGCCTTTAAATTTATAATTAAAAATTTAACTTTCAGATAACTTTACAATTGTGGAGTCTACATTCTCTGCTTATTATAAATGCAGTTATATTTCTTTTAGTCAAGAAATGTTATGTTAAATACTCTTTTAGCAATGTGCTAGACTCAGTGCTGCCAGATCGTGAACAAAATTCACAGATTTGTGAACTTTGTGCTCTCTTCATGAACATTTCATGAACATTAAAAGTTTGTGAACTTTTTGTGAACTTTTCTAAGTATTATGCATTTTGTATTTTCATCATTTTCATAAAGAATGTATAGATAAATCATAGTTCAATGAAAAGAAAATCTTCATAGCTCGTCAGTTCTTTCAAAACAACGACGATTTTAAGATAATCCGATGTTTTCCGAATATTTCCGAGAGTTTTCAAAAAATTTCAAAGGTTTTCCGAAAATGTCCGAATTAATCCGTTAACTTCCGATCTTAAAAATTAGATGTAATATGAACTTTTTGCCATCTTTGTGAACTTTTGACGCAAGCGAGCATGAATATTTTGAAATTTCGAAACTTTGAGTTTATTTTCTTTGTCTTTCTCTGTTTATTGTAAATAAACCGTTATCCACTCTGTGGCATTTCGTTGTTCATGTTTTATGACAACAATTTTTGCCGCCATTTTGAGGAGTATTTTAGTTATTTGTGTTAAACTTGGAAATGTTAACGTAAAAAAACTGAACCAAACGAAGAAAAAGTAGAAGCAATACATTCATTCTGTGCTTGATCTCATAAGGTTTGTGTCAAGTATGAATAAATATGTTCAAACGTTTATTTTCTGTATGTTCTTGTATGTATGTTTAGGAAATTTTGTTTGTAAAATTAAAGTTAAGATTGTACAGAGCACAGCGATTATTTACGAATAAATTGTCTTTTTCTTTAAGATAAATCGTATTTCACCACGTACCTATGTTGTCAAAACGACAACAATGAATTGAGAAGAAGGTTTAAAAGCTTTGGAAACTTCAATCAAAACCATTAAAGAAGTCATTATGAACAAGAAAGGTACAATTGTTCTAAGTATAAAGTACCATCCCTCAAACTTTCTGTTATCAATTTCTCTATCATTTTATTCCAAGTGCATATTATGTCCTTAACATCTTGTTATCATCTTTATACCATCTTTGTACTACCACCATGTGATCCTCATATCATACCATATAATCCTCAAACCATCACCACATCATCTTTGTACTACCACCATGTGATCCTCATAGCATACCATATAATCCTCAAACCATCACCACATCATCTTTGTACTACCACCATGTGAACTTCATATCATACCATATCATCCTCAAACCATCACCACATCATCTTTGTACTACCACCATGTGATCCTCATAGCATACCAAATAATCCTCAAACCATCACCACATCATCTTTGTACTACCACCATGTGAACTTCATATCATACCATATCATCCTCAAATCATCACCGCATCATCTTTGTACTACCACCATGTGAACCTCATATCATACCATATCATCCTCAAACCATCACCACATCATCTTTGTACTACCACCATGTGATCCTCATAGCATACCAAATAATCCTCAAACCATCACCACATCATCTTTGTACTACCACCATGTGATCCTCATATCATACCATATCATCCTCAAACCATCACCACATCATCTTTGTACTACCACCATGTGATCCTCATATCATACCAAATAATCCTCAAACCATCACCACATCATCTTTGTACTACCACCATGTGATCCTCATAGCATACCAAATAATCCTCAAACCATCACCACATCATCTTTGTACTACCACCATGTGATCCTCATATCATACCATATAATCCTCAAACCATCACCACATCATCTTTGTACTACCACCATGTGATCCTCATAGCATACCATATCCTCAAACCATCACCACATCATCTTTGTACTACCACCATGTGAACTTCATATCATACCATATCATCCTCAAACCATCACCACATCATCTTTGTACTACCACCATGTGATCCTCATAGCATACCATATCATCCTCAAATCATCACCACATCATCTTTGTACTACCACCATGTGATCCTCATAGCATACCATATCATCCTTAAACCATCACTACATCATCTTTGTACTACCACCATGTGATCCTCATAGCATACCATATCATCCTCAAACCATCACCACATCATCTTTGTACTACCACCATGTGATCCTCATAGCATACCATATCATCCTTAAACCATCACCACATCATCTTTGTACTACCACCATGTGATCCTCATATCATACCATATCATCCTCAAACCATCACCACATCATCTTTGTACTACCACCATGTGATCCTCATATCATACCAAATAATCCTCAAACCATCACCACATCATCTTTGTACTACCACCATGTGAACTTCATATCATACCAAATAATCCTCAAACCATCACCACATCATCTTTGTACTACCACCATGTGAACTTCATATCATACCATATCATCCTCAAATCATCACCGCATCATCTTTGTACTACCACCATGTGAACCTCATATCATACCATATCATCCTCAAACCATCACCACATCATCTTTGTACTACCACCATGTGATCCTCATAGCATACCATATCATCCTTAAACCATCACTACATCATCTTTGTACTACCACCATGTGATCCTCATAGCATACCATATCATCCTCAAACCATCACCACATCATCTTTGTACTACCACCATGTGATCCTCATAGCATACCATATCATCCTTAAACCATCACCACATCATCTTTGTACTACCACCATGTGATCCTCATATCATACCATATCATCCTCAAACCATCACCACATCATCTTTGTACTACCACCATGTGATCCTCATATCATACCAAATAATCCTCAAACCATCACCACATCATCTTTGTACTACCACCATGTGATCCTCATATCATACCATATCATCCTCAAACCATCACCACATCATCTTTGTACTACCACCATGTGATCCTCATATCATACCAAATAATCCTCAAACCATCACCACATCATCTTTGTACTACCACCATGTGATCCTCATAGCATACCATATAATCCTCAAACCATCACCACATCATCTTTGTACTACCACCATGTGATCCTCATAGCATACCAAATAATCCTCAAACCATCACCACATCATCTTTGTACTACCACCATGTGATCCTCATATCATACCATATCATCCTCAAACCATCACCACATCATCTTTGTACTACCACCATGTGATCCTCATATCATACCATATCATCCTCAAACCATCACCACATTATCTTTGTACTACCACCATGTGATCCTCATAGCATACATTATAATCTTCAAACCATCACCACATTCTCTTTGTACTACCACCATGTGATCCTCATATCATACCAAATAATCCTCAAACCATCACCACATCATCTTTGTACTACCACCATGTGATCCTCATATCATACCATATCATCCTAGTACCATCACTATATACCATCCTCATGCAATCACTGTATTATCCACGTACCTTCCCATACCATCCTTGCAAGTCATTGTGTGATTTGCACATTACAAGTTGATTGTTTATCCAAACCTTCACTTTACCCACAGATTTTTAACCTTGATCATTACTGACCAAGATCTTAGCAATCTACTTTTGTGTTTATTTTGTCAATTCTTCTCATTATGTCAGATACATGCCAATCAAGATTAGAGGTTGAAATGTACTTGTAAATCCTATTGCCATGCCTTTGAATTCGTACAAGAAATTTGTTGATTTCAAATGATAAAGTTAAGCTATAAATTTCTACCATTGATTATCATTGTTATCTGTTTAGCCAAAGGTTGTCACAGATATGGATGAAGCAGACTTTGCAAAGGAACTGGAAAAACTTGAACATCAAAATGCAGAAGTTGATGGTGATGATGATAATGCTGATGATGATGAAGAAGAAGATGAAGCATAATTGATTGTGGTTTGTTTTAGAACATTTTAAAAGACACATACTGTGTTTTATTTTTATCTTACATGACCCTGCAGTTGACTTGAACTGCATTTAGTTAAACTTCAATTATACTCAAACCCAACACAGATATCAATCTTTCATGTTACTATGAGAAATAAATGTTTCATGGTCAGTATTTCGAGAGAAAATTTATTTAAAATCCATTATGGTTAAAATACAGCCTCAAATATTTAACTTGAGATGAATTGGACCTTCGCGAAACTATTGTAAATGTGCAGTCGTTGAAGTGAAAGTTAAATTTCATTTTAACTTAATCTCGACGTTCACCTTTGACGTTTATCAGAACTTATACAGTCAGTGAAGTTCGTTGAAAATTTCTATTGCTACTTTCTAACTTTATATATCATCAAATGAAACTGAGAATATTTGAAATTTGAAACACGGAAGGGTATTAAGATGTTGGCGAAAAAAACAAGTAAACACAACTTTAATATATATGGTCGATCAAAAATGCACATTACCGTGTTGTTGCGAATTTTTTCAATAATTTGCATAAATTTTTCTTTGTGTCTTTTGTGTCAACAGTAAAAAATATACAGCTTTAAAAATTATTATGTCGACGTCTACAAAAGTGCCAATGTTTCTCAAATTCATCGCATTTTGTTCTTTCGACACAAATGTAAGCAATAGTTTGAAGGAAATCACTTTCGTTTTGTGAACGGAATCGTCGGAATGAGGAAGTTGTAAATTTTATTATAACTGTTCAATCACGTTAGTTCGATTTCGATTTTAAGTAAATAAAATAATAATGAACTTAAATTAAATTACATAAACTCTTTTCAGAATCATTCAACTTTTTAAACTTTCAAACATCGAATTTTTCATGCGCAATTTTTTGCATCATGCAGAGATCAGTGACTTCCATTGAGTTCTATAAGACCTATCTGCGTCTATATTGAGTCTTATAGAACTCAATGGGTCGAGGCCCCTTTCCCCTCCAGGTCTTATAGAACTCAATGATTCTGATTGGTTAGCCGGATGACGTATAACACGACGGACCGAGTTTACGCGGAATATATAATCGTGACAGCTACACAGAACCAGTGAACTCGACATTTGAATAACTGGAATGATAACCGAAGCCAAAAATTGAAGCCAAAAAAATATTTGTCGTCATCATTCATCATCACACGTCAGGCTCTAGTCTCTCGCGTGTTCATTTTATTTTTTTTTAATCATTTGTCCCTTGGTAATGGTTGCGTTCGGATCTTGATCAGAGCGTAAAAATAACGAAATTTTTGGAATGAAAAGGTTCACGGAAAGTGAATCAAAGTGATAAATCGAGAAGCAAGATGAGGTGAACTTAGTCGATCTGCTCTTACGCTGCGGTTTTCCTTTAAAACATATCAAAGTCTTTAAGGATATTCAATTATTGATATCGCGATGACAACCATTTAGTATTCAAGTTTCAAGCACTATCAAAATCGATGAAAAATACAATCGCTCTGTAAAAAGTAAAAATGCGAGTTATAGACTCAATATTTTTTATAAAACTGGATATTCAAGTTTCTTTTTTATTCGGAAAAACAGATCTTTAAATCCACTTAAATGACAAAAAAGACAAACACTGTCTGACACCGTTTGAAAGTTTACCTTCCGACGAAAGAAAAATTTATGCTTGAATATTTTCTCGTTATATTTTCTATTGTATTGTGTTTTAGCAAACAGTGTAATTTTCAGTTGGCTTTTCCTCGTAACAAGTTGTAAGTTACAACGAACTCACTGTAGTAAAGTTTCAGCTGTAAAAAATAACCTTTTGCGAGGAGTTGGCCTAGTGTGTTTTTGGTAGTGATGTTGTTTATATGTTTTTGCTTTTGTAATTTGTATTCAAATTTATATTGGCCGTGTATGTTTGGCACTCAGGGGAATGAAACTAACGTACAAACCGCGTGAATATTTGACTTTGAAGGACTGGAACCTGACGTACAAACCGCGCAAGAGACTAGGACTTTGGCTTCAATTTTATATCTATAAAATGTATTGTCGTTATCATTCCAGACATATATATATATGGAGTTCACTGCACAGAACACTCGGTCTTCGCTCAAGTGTATGATACACTCAACGAATTAAAAATTTTCAATTTCTATTTTTCCTATTTTCGGTTAACTTGATTTCCCGACAGCAGGTAAGTCTGACTTTTTATTACATTTAGAACATTATGTTAAGAGACCACATTATGTCATACGTAAACGTTTTACTCGAGCTAAATTTTTGTCCTCATTTAGCTAAAGCTATGATATAAGTTTTGATTTATTATTAAATTTAGTGAATTTGTACAAAGTTGCGGGATTTGATTTTCATTGCGTAGTACTAACTAGTTTTGGCTTTTCTGACTAAAATCTAACGTTACTTTCAGATCTTACCTCCTGTGGCGTGCGTCAAGTCAATCTATTGTTTGAAGAGGAGAAGCAAAAAGTTCTGACCGTATTTAGAAATCCATTGTTTTTCAGTGAGTGAAACTAACAAAAATTTTACATACATTTTTGCGCTATCGTGCTAGAAATACTTCGGATGTCTCCAAGGTTAAAATCAAATTTTAAAGAGTATCGATTAACTTTTAAATTCTTGCATGGAAAAGTTCCGTGAATAAAGACTTTTTATCTTTATTTTATACCAGCATAGACATGGGTTGCAAGCTTTGCAAGATATTCTACAAGAGAAAGTTGGAACATGGGGAACATGAAGTAAGCAATGGTGAACAAAATGTACACCATAATCTTGGTGAAGTGACGTCAGGAATAGAAAAGAGTGGAAGACGTCATCCCGTACAAGAGACTCTTATTGAGGAATTTGATTTTTTACCTCATGTCTTGGATTTGATAAGAGAACATGGATATACGATGGAAGCCAGGGATGATTTTGTAGTGAATGTTCAGTCAACACAAGAAGAAGTTTAAATCAGAATGTATTAGTTGCCAACTTTCAGGTCCGTTTTTCAAACGTCGCATTTTACATGAGCCGAATGCATTTAAAACAAAAGAGAACGAGGAATTTCGTCTCAATTTTTTTTTGTTTTGAATGCATTCGGCACATGTAAAATGTGCCTTGTGAAACGGGCCTTAGTATAGAAATAAGCATTCATTATATATTACCGTAAAAATAACCATTCACTATATAATAGTGTAAAATGCAAGCACTTGAAAACGCATCTTGTTTCAAAAATGGAAACTTTCAAGGACATATTTGTTTACATTTTGTGTAGCTAATTGATAATTAATAACTTTCTTTAAACTTTTGTATGTAAATATATATTTATTTTTATATATATTATTATTAACTTTGAATGGAATGATAATTTTGATGTAATCAGTTTTAACAGTGGTTTTAACATCAAACCGTTCATCGTTTTCTCTCGAAGTGTTCCTTGTAGACTAAAGCAGTTGATTTCAAAACAAGCCAAATAATAATGGTAAATTCTGGTTATTTAAAATCAACGAGAAGATATTGTAAACTGCTACACAAATGCAAAATGATTTGATAAATTGTTTAATGTATTTTCCTCGTGTTGAGTGGGACTTATTCAAGCTCTTGACCAATCACCGCACCGCATTGTGTTTATTTTATAACCTTGATGACGCCCGAAGCAGCACAACCTGATTGGCTGAAATGCAGTGTAAGGCAATCATTTTTTGAGTAATGGTAAATGTGATATAGTTTTATATTTATTCTGTCCTTTCATCTTTGCTGCCCTGGCATACTTCTGTAGCGTGGAAATTTTCCAACGTAAGTTATAATGTATCATGTACTATTTTCATGAAAGCATTTTACACTTCTGTTTCAAGCATTTTGATTCTTGTAAGTAAACGTTCAAAGACGAGTTTATTTGAGAGCACGCGGTTTTTGTGAGCACTTTAAATATCGATTTGTGTCATATGTTTGAGTGTGACTTCATGTTTTCTTTATCCGTTTTTCTTCCTGGCTTTTAGGATGAATAATTATCCAATCATTGGGAAACGTGAACGTTTTACAAACCATCCTGAGATAAACAATCTCTTTGACTCGGAACTCACCCCAGAAGATGTTCTGTGCTCAGTGCTTGGTTTGAAAGATGAGTTTGCTTGCAGGCTTCTCGAACTAACTCCTTACATGAGAAAACACAAAAGTGAAAAGGTACATTTGCTAAGATTTTTAAAGGAGTTTAAGGAAGAAGACAACTTAAAAAATCTCAGAGATGGTGAAAAGGTTGCTAAAATCTTGTGCAAGAATGGTTTTACAAAGCATCGATCTGAATTTATTGCTAATTGGATAACCAACATGGCAGATCCAAATCACAAACCAATTTTCTCCTGGGTGAAAACTTACATTGAAAATCATTTTAAGTATGATATCTTGTTAAATGATCAAGTTTCGGATTTTCCTTTCAAAAATGATAATCAAAATGAATGGTTTACTGTGAATATCCCACGTTTAGATGAAGAGGGAAGACATAGTCATCCTATAAATATGATCAATGTTGAATTGCAAGAAGATGCTCTACACCATGTTGGATCAATAGTTGCTGAACTAAATGAAAATAATCCTGAGACAGAAGTATATTTCCATTGTACTGATCACGAAAGTGCTGTGGATATTCTGGAAATTGGAATTCATCTGGGTTTTGGTCGAAAGAAATCAGACTTCTCTGATGGAGCAGGTTTCTACATGGTAAATAATGCAAAGTTCTCATTAGAGCAATATGGATTGAGCAGTACACATCCAGCTATTATCATGTTTGATGTGAGTCCTCAAAAACTGAGCAAGTTCAAAGGAATTGATTTATCCAGTGCTGAAAAAGACAAAGATTGGAAATTGATTGTTGAGTATTTTCGCTCAAGTAGCCATGGTATTGGTAATTTACCCAAGAATTTGTTCTCACACATAAGACAATGTGATTACATCCGAGGGCCTGTTTCCCTAAATGGTTCTATTGAAAATAACACATTATCTCAAGGTGTTGAACAAATTTGCATAAAAGAACGAGAATTGGCCAAGCTAATTGGGCATCCATCATTAATCTTAGGCGTTATTTTTCTTAAAGCTCATGAACTGATCCAAAAGGGAAATGAGCTTGGCAGTAAAGATGACGACCATGACATGGCAGAATTGAAGATTGAGCCAATAATAATTGACAAAATCTAAACATGCATTATAGTAATAAACATTTGAAAGTTGATTTTGTAAGTTGTTGTAAATTTCAGGAACCTTTAATCTTATAACCGACAGGTGTTATACCCAAGAACAGTTGGTATAACATATTTTATTGTATACTTATATGTATAACCAACAGTAGATCATTGTAAACTATGATTATCTTTTACTATTTATACCTGAACATTGTGACATACTTAAGTTAGGAAACGAACTATTTACTGCTTGTTGTAGATTAGATAATTTGATTTGGCTTTTGTGTGATGTCATGATAAATATCAAAAAAATTGGAATTTTTGTTCTTTAGTATTCATTCTGTTAGGATTGCACTTACAGCTTGTTGATGATGCCTTTAGAGTGCTGAGTTTTCTTGCTTAACAAATTTGCAAAACAACACTGGTTTGCTCTTTGTACAACTACATAAATCACAAATGTTTCTAATATTAAAGGCAAATCAGCAATATGCTTCTGCATAACACGTGATTTAATCCTCTAAGTATTGAATATTTATATATAGTCAATGGCGCTGTATATTAATGGCTTTGTTATTGTGAAATTGAGATTCAGTGTTTATTTGTTGCTTTGAATTGCATTCAGAGCTACAAAATTTCGACAATGACTTCAAGAAAGCGTTGCTACAATGGATTAAAACACGCAAAACAACATATGATATTATTTTTCATTTTATTCGGCGTACTTTGTGGATTTTTACTCGGTTCTTTATTGCATGGCAATGTTCAGTCGTCCATAGATCCAACACCGAAGGAATATGCAATGTAGATGTCGTTTCTTGGTGAGATTTGGGTGAGAGCATTAAGACTTTTGGTCCTTCCTTTGATTGTATCCAGCCTGCTTTTCGCAGTCGCTGAATTGGAGTCAAAACAGAGCGGAAAATTGGGAAGAAGAACATTGCTGTATTGTCTTATGACTACAATGTTTGGGGAGTAATTTGTTTATTTGCATTTAACCTGGAAATGTTAACGTGAAAGAACCAGAACCGAACGAAGAAAAAGTTGAACCGATACCTTCTGTGCTTCATCTTACAAGGTTTGTGCAAAATATTCATAAATTTACTGAGTTTGCGCCCTGCTTTTGCGTTCACTGCAAAAATTTTCTTATACATATAACTTTTATTTCTATTATTTAACGACAATGCTTTTTACTTTTTCAATATGAACATAATAGCTCAACATAAGACATTTAAAAAAGCCATCATAATTATAAAATAAAGAAAGATTAAAGGTTTTTAATAATTAGGTTTCTTCTTTAACTTAAGACATCTTCAGATTATTTGAGATAAATTATATACATGAGGTTTTAAATACAAGCATATATTACAGGGTGTTAAATTACATGTGAGGGAGTAGGAAGTTTAGATGAAGGAATGAAGTGAGAATGGCAGTATATTAAAGAAGGTGAAGGGGGATTGAGTTGCCTTGGGTGTTAAGAGAGGGTTTAAGTTTGGATATAAGAAAGCTTTCATGAATCATAAGGTCATAATTGTCGGCTTTTTACTTTACTAAAGGAAACCTTTTTATTAGAATGTAAATGCTTCATTTGCAAAACTGTGCAAGTGTGGAGATTTCCAAGTGCGTAGATAACACATTCACCTTCACTATTTTGAAACAATAATAAATACATTTACGATATTAGTTGTAAATACATTTTATTATGACATATGAACCATACCAAAGAGAGCAAAGGTAATGCTACAAGATCATAATAAGAACATCGATTTTAAATGGATAAGTTAATCTGAAACACAACCTTTACAACAATGACATTGAAATATAAAAATTGCAATAAACCTTCCACACTCTACTCATCACACACTCAATTTCTCATCTCTTTGAGACAGTGAGTGGAAGGTTTATTGAAATTTTTGCATTTCAAAGTCAATAAGATCTTTACTCCTTTTGAATTTTAAAACTCATTTAATATAAACGACAAGTTTTTTGAAAATAGACATAATAAATAATACAAGGTTTATATAAAAGTAATATGATCCATAAATTACAACAATAAAAGGAAATAAGATAAATTAATGGGGAGCATCCAAGCGTATTATAAACTAAATATTGTATTGAATTTAAAAACTTGAACATTGAGGTCAGGGTTAGTTTTGTTAATGTGGAGTGTTTCTTTGATTTTAAAGGACAATGAGGTGTCGGCAGTGTCAATGATTTTGAAGCTAGAGGGGAATAGTTGGTTTTACATGAGTGAGATATAAGAAGGTGTCGGTAGATATGAGATTTAAAAACTTGATGTTCAAGTTTTTAAATTCAATACAATTAAATTCAATTCAGTCAGCCAAGCTTTTTTGAAACCATTATGAATCAAAATTAATATCATTTGACGTCTTACATGAACTGTTCTTAACCAATAGAGCTATACCTCATATTCATCATGTCATTTTAACTTTTAAATATGTTTATGTCAAGATTTCAATTGTAGAATGATTATTATATATACTACTGAACATTGTGTACAACAAGACAACTGTCAATAAATGATTTGTCAAGAAAACGAACCTTAAGAACCAAGAAAAGCACGAAGCTTTGTCTTACACCACTGTATATGACAGATCATTCTCATTGAAATGCATCAAACTGCAATATTGCTACATAAACACAACGAGGATGGACATTTTGATGTTCACGAAAACAAAATTTAATTATTTATAGATGTTCCAAATGTGCACAGCAATGTAATTATATCTTACAATAGCTGTGCCAGGGCTAAATTCCATACAATGATAAATAATGTTTTGAAAATTTCACTGTTTGATTGTAAACTGTTTTCTTCTTTAAGATAAATCCCATTTCACCACCTACCTATGTTGTCATGACAACAACAATGAATCGAGAAGAAGGTTTGAAAGCTTTGGAAACATCTATCAAAGCCATTGAAGAAGTCATTATGAACAAGAAAGGAACATTTGTTTTACAACAAGCTGTAAGTGTTTGGTTTATATTTCTATGAAAAGTATATTGTATCACTAAAATGACATCCCCCTGGTGCCTCTACTGTCCTCATATCATCCTGTTACCATTTCCTTAAGTACTCCATGCTGTATTAAGACGGACATATTCAATCATTAGTTGTTTATTTGAAAATTACAATGACACCATCCCAATGCATTGAAGCACATTGAAGCAGATTTGCATATTGAAGAAAAGTTATGTGTCTCCAAAACAAAATAAAATAACAAAGCACATGTTCACACCATTTACACAATGACTGTCTCATGTTTGCTTTGTCTGACTGTGTAACTATTATCAGAAGGACATCACTTGAGTCCATTGGACATTTTGTACACCTGTATGATGTATCAAAGATTTGAAATCATACAACTGACGTATGTTTAATGAGCTGCTGTTTTTTGCAGCGTCAGAGAAAAGAATAAAACAAGCAGAGTTTGTCATGTTCTTATTCAAGTAGTACTTTATGTTTAACTTAGGAGCTAAACATGTTTCATACAAAATGTTTTATGGTTTTTGATTGTTTATATGAAATGATCTATTCCACGACCAACCCCTTACCTCTTGTTTTCAGTGTGAGCGTAGGGAATGGTCGGGGCATACAAACAAAATATTTTTACTCTATAGCGTTGCGTGAACTGACAATTTTTCGTAAAAGCTCAGAAGCGATATCTCTGACTCTTTGAGCTTCAGACGCAACGTTTGACTGTCCTTTACTGATTTCTATGTTCACACACAGTCCAAGAACACATTAAAACGATGAATAATTGGACAATATTTGAAATACACGTGCGAATAAAGTTGGGCACGACCAAAGGAAAATATTTGGCGATTGAGCATGCGTACGACGCAATGCAGCTTTATATATTATTAGTAATTTATGTTTTGGTCGTTCTCGCCTGATCAGAGCACAACCAAACTAGGGCTGACTATACCCATTTGAACAGGCCGTGAGGTTTTCCAGCCAATCAGCGCTTAGGAATATATAATTTGGTCGTGCTGGTCTGAGTAGAGGACGACCAAAAACGGGCGAACGCCCTTCCATTTGCTTTTAGGCAATAAATAGGGCAGATAAAGTAAATGGTTTGAACCCGGGAGTATCGTTATATGTTTGTAAATGATGATCGTCCAGGTTAATAAAGTCCTGAGAAGGACTGTTTTTGATGTTGTTGACTGACGTTTCGACAACCTTAGCGGTAGTCATCTTCAGAGTCAAATGAGGAGTAAACGTCAGGTTAGCCGTATTTGTTGTCTGGTTCTTACGTCATTGTATTGTGTGTACAGGAAATGTGCAGGAAATGTGTATTGTCATTGTGGATTAGTGTGAAGTGAAATATTTTATTTTTAGTTGTGATGTGTGATTTAGGTGTGACGTTTTTAGTTGTAGTGTGTGGGTGTCAATTGTGTATTGTCATTGTGAATTAGTTTGAAGTGTAATGTTTTTAGTTGATCGTTTGTTTGTATTGTGAATAAGTCGTTTGTAAGGTGCCGGTAATTGCTGTGATCTGTTCAGGGGGGTTTGTTCAAATTGGTATACCAACTTTCTAATGTAAGCCGTTGTCTATAGTCAGTACTGTAAGTGATGCATTTTGCCGAGTCCCAGTCAATGTTGTGCTTTGTGATTCGGTGATGTTCGGCAATGTGATTAGTTTTGTCTTGTTTCTTAGTAGCTCGTTTGTGCTCAGTAAGTCTTATGTTTAAGTTCCTGCCAGTTTCCCCGATATAGGAGGCGTGGCAGTCGGAGCAGTTTATTTTGTAAACTGCACCTTGTCGTTCGTTGGGGTGTTCTTTGTCCTTTATGTTCGTTAGTACTTGTCGTAATGTTGTGATTGGTTTATGTGCGACACGTATGTTGTACGGTCGTAAGATACGCGAGATAGTCTCAGACGTACCTTTGATGTAAGGTATCGTTGCTGGTATACCTTACATCAAAGGTACGTCTCATTGACTAATTCACAATGACAATACACAATTGACACCCACACACTACAACTAAAAACGTCACAGACAAAATTAGACAATATTTGAAATACTCGTGTGAATAAAGTTGGACACGACCAAAGGAAAATATTCGGCGATTGAGCATGCGTACGACTCAATGCAGCTTTATATATTATTAGTAATTTATGTTATTGTCGTTCTCGCCTGATCAGAGCACGACCAAACTAAGGCTGACTATACCCATTTTAAAAGGCCGTGAGGTTTTCCAGCCAATCAGCGCTTAGGAATATATAATTTGGTCGTGCTGGTCTGAGTAGAGGACGACCAAAAACGGGCGAACGCCCTTCCATTAGCTTTTAGTCAATAAATAGGGCAGATGTCGGGCAGAAACGTAATATAGTGAAAGTAATATGAAGTACATATCACAAAATACAAATGAAGCATAAGAAATCGATTTTGTTTTCGCTAATATCTGTCAACATTAAAAACAAGTAATAAAATTTTAGTGGGTAAATAAAACCTTAGTTTGAAAAATGTTTGGTCGTGCTCAGCACAACCATCCCGACCTCTAGCTTTGCCACTGTGTGGATGGTTTGCTGAAATTAAGAATTGTCACCCAGTGCTCGCATTTTCTTTGTGTATTATAACTTGTTTCTATACTTAAGTACATTATAAAGTAAATGGTTTGAACCTGGGAATGTCGTTACATGTTTGTAGATGCAGATCGTCCATGTTGTTAAGTCCTGAGAAGGACTGTTTTTGTTGTTGTTGACTGACTTTTCGACAACCTTAGAGGAAGTCATCTTCACAGTCAAATGTTTGTGGAAGTCAGAGTCAAAAGTCACTTCACTCTGAAGATGACTACCGCTAAGGTTGTCGAAACGTCAGTCAACAACAACAAAAACAGTCCTTCTCACTATACCAACCTGGACAATCTACATCTACAAACATTTAACGATATTATGTTGTTCTTCATCAGCTTGGAAGAGATTTGGACAGTACAGCATGTTCATGAGAGATCAAAGAATGCCCATGTGTCTCAAAAGGAAGATCATGGACACTGTCATACTACCAGCAATGACTTATGGAGCAGAGACGTGGGCACTTACCAACCATCAAAGAGAGAAACTGGCAATCACCCAAAGGAGCATGGAAAGATCAATGCTCGGTGTCACGAGGAGAGATAAGATCCGGAATGAAGACCTGAGAGCAAGAACAAAGGTGAAGGATGTCATCGAGAAAGTTAATGAAGCCAAAGGAAAGTGGGCAGGACATCTAGCCCGAATGAAAAAACCATGAATGGGCAAAGAAAACATCTGAATGGACCCCGTGGGACAAGAAAAGAGGCAAGGGAAAACCAAAAAAGAGATGGAGAGATGACATCGAGCAGAGAGCGGACAGCGTGTGGATCCAGAGAGCCCAAGACCGTGAAGAGTGGAGAAAGATGTGGAGGCCATCCGCCAGCAGTGGCGTGACAGGCTGATGATGATGATGATGATGATGTTGTTCTTATACTTTAGTACATCACGATGGTTAGGCATAAAAAATAAAAAGCCTTTAAAAGCAATTTTATTGTGTGATAAGAAATTTTGAGCAAAAGATAATCATTGTCTACAATGATCCACCAGTGATCCTATCTATAAAAATGCAATGTTCCTGTCAAATTTTGTAGCAAGTCGTAAACAGGAAGCCGAAAATAAAATATTGTCACAGCGCAAACTATAGTCAACATACTTGTGTTCTTTTCACTGATTTGCACGCAGAAATTAGAAATACTTTTTTTGAGCAAACCTCATTGTTGGCTATGAAATAACACTATCATTATTAGCTTGTTTTGAAACAATTGTGTTGGAATGAGTTGATAATAGCACTGAAAAAAATAAAAGTCAATAACGACATAAATAAAAATACAGATCATTACGAAATAGATTTACAAAAACTTACAAATTTTTTACCCATTTTTCATTAGTAGATAACATTAAAGTGTAGTTGTTTTTGAATGATTATTGAATGGTTAAAACAAAATATTTTCTTGAGTTTTACACAAATGTATTTATAATACAAAATTTACATAATCTGTTTCTTTCTATGAATACCACTTTACGTTGAAGTTGACGATGATTTAAAGTTTTTCTTGAGTTGATGGAACATTCAAAACAAGGTCTTCCTCCAACATTTCCATCGAAGATTCAAATTCTTCAGAAAAAGTCTCTTGAATGGGTAAATTTAGAATTGGTTGAGTATTTCCACCATCTTCCATACTTTCATTTTCCACTGCACTGTCGTATCTTTCGTTGCCATCTTCTAGCATATCACAATTATTATCTTTAACGTTATTCTCTTGTTCAACACAGAAATTTTTACCTTTGTCGTTCATCTTTTTGTAAAGGACGATCTAAAGATAATTACAATAGGAAAAGAGTCCTCATTTCGACTCTTCTACAAATGGAAATGCTGGTTTTTTACGCAAACGAATTACGTTAATGGTGAACGATTTACACGATGCTTATATCTGTAAAAAATATTTTCCGATTTTGCGCAAAAGAAATGAAACAAGAATGTAAGATTTAGGATAATTGTATTTTATTTCACATGGTCGTGCTAATAATAAATTAAAATCGTCACGATTTCTTGTTACATCACCTTAAGTAAATATGGTTTGGATCGTAAGCGTAGGAAAACATGTTTTTAAAAAGTGTTAAATAAATTACATTAGTAACAGCTACCTTTTCTTAAAAGCCAACTTCACGAATATTCACGAATTAAAATCCAGTCGAGTGTCCAGTTTAACGCGCTTGAAGACTTCAAACACCAATGAATGTTCAGTGATTTTATACATCTCTATATAAACAAATGAAACATTCTATCATGTGTTTCGTCATACACATTTGTAACCCAGAACGGAACTTCCGCACTTATTTCCATCAATATTGAGGATAATATTTATGGAACGGAATCCATCAATATTAATGAATATAGTCTCCCGTGTTTTATGATTACACACATTTGTGTGGACAAACCTTTGTTTTGTTTGGTGATTGTTTCAAACTTCGTGCCTAGAAACCATTACCACCTAACGTGCCTAGAAATATTACAAATATTAACAATATATATACCACCTAACGTGCCTAGATAAAAGATCTTTTTGGTTGAGTCTGTGTGTAATCACTATGTAGCAAAAAATGGTCACGTGATATAAAAGTATAACCATTACATCCGTATATATCCGTATCTTTAATATTGTCATGTTCTTGTTCTTGTTCTTGTTCTTGTTCATGTTCTTGTCCTTGTTCTTTGTCCTTTAATATTGTCATGTTCTTGTTCTTGTTCATGTTCTTGTCCTTGTTCTTTGTCCTTTAATATTGTCATGTTCTTGTTCTTGTTCTTTGTCCTTTAATATTGTCATGTTCTTGTTCTTGTCCTTAACTTAGGAGCTAAACATGTTTCATACAAAATGTTTTATGGTTTTTGATTGGTTATATGAAATGCTCTTTAATAGGTATTACATATAATTGGACAACTGTTTTTCTATTGTGTCTGTTGACATAAAATTGTCAGTTTTAACAGAAATAGGCCTTCATAGAGATCAGAAATGTAAAAATCTTAAAATGATTTAAACTTATTCAGGAAAGAGGTCATTATTATATTTTATTATCCTAACTAACGTTTTTATTTGACTTGATGGGGTACTCTAGGAATCACGGCAAATCTTTGGCTCGTGGTCGATGGTAATTATCGGAATTAGCGGGAAAAACTACGTCAGAGGTCTGGTACCGACACAAAGACGCGATTCTTGTCATTTCATTCTGGATAGTACGCCGTCCATCGAAGCTCCTCAGTTCTTAGATAAATAAAAATTGTCAAATACCAGCTGTTATCCTTCTGTAAAAGTAAGTAAACATTCTTAGTTAACGTTAGAATGGAGTTTTGTAAATTTTGATGAATTCAGACAACAATATTCGTCGTCGTTTCCATAATGAAAGCGAAACCAATGAAAAATGTATTTGTAATTGCAACTATGTTCAACGCATTTGGGTATAATTGTGACAGTTTTCATCATAAAAAAAATTGCACTAGGCTGTCGTCAATAGCTTCAAATATCGATTTTTTGAACGGTTTTATGCGCCGTATCCTGGTATCAAAACGTAGACGACCTAACATCTATGTACTTATTAGGAACATGAAAATAATTCAACCAGTTATAACCAGGAGGCGTCAATTTCCTGAACACTTAACACTTTAAACATCGAAACATGTTTTATAATATTTAAGTCACGCTTAAGTGAGAATCGTGTGATAAGTTTTGAAGTATGTATTGGCTCTTTTGCCTTGCTTGTAACAAATCTATTGCGCACAAAGGCATATAAAGTTCCCCTGAGTGAAAATAATTTGGTGTAAAATTATCGTGTTGAAACTTTCAAAGTCATTATTATGGATCAAAAATTACTTGTAGCTTGTTTTTTAATACATTCTGAATTTTTTGAAAATAATTAATTCATTCTTTGGTATTTGGTTATAAATGATGTAGCCACAAAGCACAAGTGGTGCTTCATCACTTCCTCATAACTGTGGTGCATTGGAGCATGTTACATTTGATTTAAATTTTCCGTTTGATATTTCGAAGTTTTTGCAATAGTGGAAATGTTTATCGTAAGTCACGATCAAAGTTACTTATTCGTTGGATGAAAAACTATCTCAACAAAAATTTCAAATACATGAGGCAAAGTTACGCAAAATAACGTTTCCCACAACGGAAGTTTCATGTTTGTACTAAAATATGCACAACACTAAAGATATATACTTTTCCGCTAGATTTAATGTCGTGAAACCTTCGTATTGCGATTCCTACATAACCTTTGATGGAATTTTAATGCAAATAAACGTTTACATATGTAGCCATTGTGAACGTATCGACGTCCTCGCTTTAAATATTTGAAATGTTTCTAATTAATGTTATTCATTTTTTCAATTGTGTTATTTTTGTAAGAGTATCTATGATAAAATAAAGATATGATCTTATAAACATAAGTTAGAAAACATCCTTTCATAAGTATGTATGATGTTCTTTAGAATGCCTCCTTGTTTGTCAAAGTCAATAATGAGAGACGTCTACACCATTTATCCACAAAAGAATAATGTTGTACCACAATACAACCAATGAATGCCTCCTTGTTTATCAAAATCAATGAGAGACGTCTACACCATTTATGCACAAAAGAATAATGCTGTACCACAATACAACCAAACGATCATTTCTATGCTCCAAAAAAGACTTGAGCTAAGTCCTTTCGCTAGAACTGATATGTACGATAATGTGAGCTTGCTTTACATGTCGAATGAGTTGGTTAAAAAAGAGATCATGAAAAGTGAAGGAGAAATTGCACTCTCGCTTATTCTGTCTCATCTTGATGATCAATCAATGACAGTTTTACTTGGAACCTACATTAAGAAATTTTTTAAGTGTACTATATTTACGAATGACGCCTTTCCTCTTTTTCCGTACAATGAAAACTACCTAAACCATTGGTTTACGCAGAATTTTTCACATTTTAATGATGCAGGGAACAGAATTAATCAAGAAGTAAAGATTTTTAATGCAAGTAACAAAGATGAAGCAATTAAATATATCATCGAGTTTGAAGAAAGAAGAAGAATGAAATACTGAGTTATATTTCCATGGCACTGATTTTGGAATTAAAGAAGTGCGATTATATCAAAAGTCCAATTACAAGTGATGGTCGTTCAGCAGGTGACCAAAAGGAAGATATTCTGCAGGTTTGTGTAAAGAACCCAAAATGGCTGAGACAATCAGCGGTTCTCCATCATTGGTGGGTGCAGTCTCTATAAAACCTGATTCTGAAGAGAACAATTCGTTGTTGGGTTTTGATTCATTTGTATATTGAAAACAACATTTTGAATCTGATGCTTAGCAATGGCCTGTTCATGTGCATTTAACTTTTTCAAATGGGAGGCAACAAGCATTCCAAATAAATCATTTTCATCTTTTGCCACGTTTTCGTTTTGATGCTTAATTGCTTTTTGCATTGTATGAAGAAACTGTATTTCTTCTTGCTCAACATCAACTTTTGTCTTTGACCACTTTTTATGTCCAGTTGTATCAGATATATCAGTAATCTTATCATCAAATACTTCATCTGGCTCCATTCGTTGACAGCCATTGTCTTCATTTAGTAAGCTGACATGCTCAATTTCATCATTGGTTAACAAACTACAGTTACTTGTCGAGCCGCTGCCGGTATTTGATACTGACAAATTAGTTTTTGTTGCTCCAGACTTTATGTGTGGTACTAACCACTGTAGAAAATTATAGTCCTTCAAGTTTGTTTTAGAGGAAACAACAGCTGACAGAGATGTTCCAGATTTATTTACTTTTTTAAAGTCATTTCTTCGCTTGCTGAATCTTTTTTTTAAATTTTCAAACAATTTTTTGGCTCGCTCACCAATTATTAAAGTAAATGGTTTGAACCCAGGAGTATCGTTACATGTTTGTAAATGTAGATCGTCCAGGTTGGTATAGTCTTGAGAAGGACTGTTTTTGTTGTTGTTGACTGACGTTTCGACAACCTTAGCGGTAGTCATCTTCAGAGTCAAATGAAAATTGTTTTACGTTTCAATAGATTCAGATTTTCTGCCACTTTTGCCCAAGCATTTGCCACGCCAAACTTGTCTTTATAATCCTTATATGTTTTATCATATAAGCAGGGAATCTTACGCACTTTCTCGGCCAACTTTCTGGGTTAAGTGATTGAACACATGTTGAATCCGCCATTTTATATTCCAAAATTTTCATTTAAGATGACGTCATTTTGGCGATTAACGCGAATAAATATCAAAAATTATATCGCGGTTGTTAGTCTCCGTTTATTGCGATTATTACCACGTTCCCATATGGGATTATCGCGTTTAAAGTTAATCGCTGTCGCGTTTTCGCGTTAAGCCAAAAGTGGAAAAAAGGCTTTAAAGATCATAGCTCTCGACCAATGAAATTGCTCAAGTTCTTCAGGTTATTACATAATTATAGTCAATGGCGCGGTATATCTATAGTCTTTGTTATTGTGAATTGTGAAATTGGGAGTTGAGAGAATTTGCTTTGAATTGTATTCAAAGCTTGAAATTTTCGACAATGACTTCGCGAAAGCGTTGCTACAATGGATTAAAACATGCAAAACAACATATGATATTATTTTTCATTTTATTCGGCGTACTTTGTGGATTTTTACTTGGTTCATTATTACATGGCAATGTTCAGTCGTCCATAGATCCAACACCTAAGGAATATGCAATGTACGTGTCTTTTCTTGGTGAGATTTGGGTGAGAGCTTTAAGACTTTTGGTTCTTCCTTTGATTGTATCCAGCTTGCTTTTAACAGTCGCTGAATTGGAGTCAAAACAGAGCGGAAAATTAGGAAGAAGAACATTGCTGTATTATCTTATGACTACAATGTTTCCAATTTAACCTGGAAATGTTAACGTGAAAGAACCAGAACCGAACGAAGAAAAAGTTGAACCAATACCTTCTGTGCTTTGATCTTACAAGGTTTGTGCAAAATATTCATAAATTTACTGAATTTGCACCCTGCTTTTGCTTTTACTGCGAAAATTTTCTTATACGTATAACTTTTATTTCTATTATTTAACGACAATGCTTTTTACTTTTTCAATATGAACATAATAGCCCAACATAAGACATTTAAAAAAGCCATCGCAATAATAAAATAAAAAAAGACAAAAGGTTTTTTAATAATTACGTTTCGTCTTTAACTTAAGACATATTCAGATTATTTGAGATGAATTATATACATGAGGTTTTAAATACAAGCATATATTGCAGGGTGTTAAATTACAAGTGAGGAGAGTAGGAAGTTTAGATGAAGGAATGAAATGAGAATGGCAGTATATTAAAGAAGGTGAAGGGGAATTGAGTTGCCTTGGGTGTTAAGAGAGGGTTTAAGTTTCGATATAAGAAGGCTTTCATGAATCATAAGGTCATAATTGTTGGCTTTTTACTTTACTAAAGGAAGCCTTTTTTTATTAGAACGTAAATGCTTCGTTCGCAAAACTGTGCAAGTGTGGAGATTTCCAAGTGCGTAGATAACCCATTCACCTTCACTATTGTGAAACAATAATAAATACATTTACGATATTAGTTGTAAATACATTTTATTATGTCTTACGAACCATACCAAAGAGAGCAAAGGTAATGCTACAAGATCATAATAAGAACATCGAGATTTTAAATGGATAAGTTAATCTGAAACATAGCCTTTACAACAATGACCTTGAAATATAAAAATTGCAATAAACCTTCCACACTCTACTCATCACACACTCAATTTCTCATCTCTTTGAGACAGTGAGTGGAAGGTTTATTGAAATTTTTGAATTTTAAAGTCAAAAAGATCTTTACTCCTTTTGAATTTTAAAACTGCTTTATATTTATGGCAAAAGTTTGCTGAAATTTTGTTTACGATTGTAACATGTGACAGCCAGGGTTATGTGTTAAAGGAACTGGAAAAACTCGAACGTCAAAATGCAGAAGTTGATGGTGATGATGATAATCCTGATGATGAAGAAGAACAAGATGAAGCAAAAATGATTGTGGTTTGTTTTAAAACTTGCTGTGTTTTATTTTTATCATACACGATCCTGTGATTGACTAGAATAAGAATTACTTGGCATGGCGGATAATAAAAATGATATTTCGAGAGGGATGACAGAAGCGATATGAAGGGTAATCACGCAAACTTTGGGTACAAGAGAGGTATATGAGCGAGTTATTTTGCATTTAGTTTATATCAATCCAACAGTAGTCTGTCTTTGTTGATTTGAAACAAATTTAACAGATAAGCGTTGAGCACGAGACAAATGATCCACTGGTCATTCAAACCAGTGGCTTGCTACATAAAATCAAAGATATTTCGTTGATTCAGATTTTAAGTATTTTTCTCAATCAGCAAGCATCAACGGCTGATGACAACCCCAGCCAAAACAGTTCTAATGCTAGTTCTATTACAGTCCAGCCTGTCCAGGTACGTTGACTTTTTACATAGTAAGCTAGTAACCCAGGGGTCAGCTGTAAAGAAGTCAACGTACCTGAACCAACGAAATATCTTTGATTTTATGTAGCAAGCCACAGGTTTGAATGACCAGTGGATCATTTGTCTCGTGCTCAACGCTTATCTGTTAAATTTGTTTCAAATCGCCAAAGACAGACTACTATTAGATTGATATAAACTAAATGCGAAATAACTTGCTCATTTACCTCTCTTGTACCCAAAGTTTGCGTGATTACCCTTCCTATCGCTTCTGTCAGCCTTCTCGAAATATCAATTGTTTTATCCGCCATGCCTTGTTTTGCGCACTTTAGCTGAAATCAGTGAACTACAATATAGAACTGGAAGCCATCCCTCAAACTTTCCACAGCGGGAGAGGGTAAGTAGATCACGAACGTGACGTCATTCAAAGTGTGCCAGATATCATCGCTCCGTCTGAGGCGACGGTGTGCAACTCTCATAAACCAGGAGAGAGTATTTCTCATTGTAATTCGTCAGAGTCAGACCCATTTTGTCAAGTGTATGAGATTTCTATTTCAGAAGAGAGGTTGCTCTGACTGTGAAAGGTAAGATTATTATACATGGTGTATCAAACAGAATGTTTTAAATTTCTTGTTTAATAGTTGTTGTGCAAAAGTTTTGATGTATTTCTTATATGATATACCATTATGTCTCCTAGAAACTTTGCGTGCAATAATTGAAATTAAGGTATTTTTCATCTGCTATAAAGTATTGAAACATTTAATGAATTTTCACAAACTATCTTGTAAATAACGCGTACTAAAAGCGTCGTGCATGCACTCTATTTTTTAGGCAAGAAGCTGTGCTAAGCAGTTTTGAACATAGCTAAGTTATAATTTCCCCCGCAAAACGCACAGCTTGTGTCCAAAAAATATAGTTATAATTTCCCCCGCGAAACGCACAGCTTGTGTCCAAAAAATATAGTTATAATTTCCCCGCAAACGCACAGCTTGTGTCCAAAAATATAGTTATAATTTCCGCAAAACGCACAGCTTGTGTCCAAAAAATATAGTTATAATTTCCCCCGCAAAACGCACAGCTTGTGTCCAAAAAATATAGTTATAATTTCCCCCGCAAAACGCACAGCTTTATTATGTACGGTGGCCCACAGCGGCAATGCGGAACATAAATTAGGAATAGAAATAAAGTATTTTGCATGAAATGTTTTCATTGTTCATGATATATATTAGTGGAGCAGTAAATATGTATTCATTGAGCAGATATGTTCATAAAGTACGCAAATATATATTTTCAGTACGCAGATATATATTTTCAGTGCGCAGATATATATTATCAGTGCGCAGATATATATTATCAGTGCGCAGATATATATTTTCAGTGCGCAGATATATATTTTCAGTGCGCAGATATATATTATCAGTGCGCAGATATATATTTTCAGCGCGCAGATATATTTTCAGTGCGCAGATATATATTATCAGTGCGCAGATATATATTTGTAGTGCGCAGATATATATTATCAGTGCGCAGATATATATTTGTAGTGCGCAGATATATATCAGATTTTCAGTGCGGATATATTTTAGCGTTATATATAAATCTTTCGTATGAGCTCCGAACGTGAGTTCAATGTACTAGAACGCTGTTAAATTTTGTGATTATTTTATTCATTAGCGAAGAAGTTTTTTACAACAGTCGTGAGTGTTTTATGTGTTAGAATTTATTTACAGGCTTTTTATATATTTGGTTAAAGAAGGTGCAGTTATTACACAGCGGATAATGTACTTGAAATTTGAGTAGTTTTACGTAATTATAAAGTAAAGTGCGTAAGTTTAAGTAGTGCGTTTGAGTAAGTGTAGGATTGGCTATTTCGTCTATTTCTAATACATGAATCTAGATGAGTAATGTACGCACTTTATGTACGTCACTACAAGATATTTATGGCAAGCAGACACATATTTTTTACTCCGCAAACACATATTTATAGTGTGAACTGTGAATATATACAAAAAATATAGAAACGTTTCAGCAACAAAAGAGAAACTGCGAGAAAATTTGCATTAAAGTTACAAAATATTGCCAATATGGTTGACATTCCTTCGCATGATTCTGATACAAACAATGTAGAAAATGAGCGAACTCTGATTGAATATTATTTTACTAGAGGGTTCGAATATAAGAGCATAGTTAAATTCATATTAAATAAACACGGAGTTCAAATGTCGGAACGCACGTTACGAAACCGTTTTAAGGAGTACGGTTTACGTAGACGATTGCCTGAGTTTGATACAAATGAAATTCGCCGAGTCATTCAACAAAAATTGAACGGTCCTGGTAATTTGGGAGGTTATCGTTGGATGTGGCATGCACTCAGAACTGAAGGACATCAAGCTCCAAGAAGTGTTGTTGAAGAGTTGATGAGAGAGCTTGATCCCGTTGGTTGCGAAACAATACGTGCGAAACGTTTGCGAAGACGAATATATCGAGTTCCAGGTCCTAACTTCTGTTGGCATACAGACGGCTACGATAAACTAAAGCCGTACGGTTTTCCGATACACGGATGTATCGATGGATGGAGTCGGAAAATAATATGGTTGCGCGTTGCACGATCAAACAACAAATCAAGGAAATAGCACATGCCCCTCCTGCCATATAATATTCATGTGTACTCAATTTACTTGCATTATGTGTCAATACATGAGCCCAACATTGCTGTGCTTTGAAAAACACCTGAACTCTCAACCATATCATTTCTTAGCAACCTCAAAAACTCTTGTCTTGGTCCTTTGTCATCAACTGTTCCCATGCTATCAGTAAATTTGACCTGTGATAATAGTAAACACTTACAGTCTTCTCTGTGATATTGATAAAAACTGCACATGACTGTCGTTACCTCAAAGTCCATAGTATCATCCACCTTCTGACAGGTCATCTCTCTAAGAAAGCTCTTCCAGGGCATACTTCTTCGAATAACCAACACAACTGATGATGATACAGAAACATTTGAACTGATGTGATTTGTCAGTAAGGTTGCAAGATCTTCATCCTCATTACTCTCAACAAAACCTTCCCTAAATATAAAGAAAATAATTTGATTGTGAAATACAAAGATATCATAAAAAATTCTTCACTTCCTAAGTAATAAAAAAATAAACATTCTATAACTATAGATTAAGACCAGTCAAGAAGAAGCAATATTATGTTATTTTTTTTGTAAAGTTGGTCATCTATGAAACAGTTTGGGATCTTATAGACAGTGCTTGTGTACATATTTTGCAAAGTCAGTTTCTTTTTATGATTTTTTCCATTTCAATATGGCCACTATCTTTCTTTGTTTTCTTTGTACCATAAAGCACCACTTAAAGAACTATTATTTTTGCTACATATATGGCACAAGTAATAATATAATGTATAATAACTGAAGACAGATGAAAGTCGATTCATCGTAAAATATATCATAGCAAACAGATGTGCTATATGCAATCAATCTGTAAATTATTTAAGTTCTTATGTACAAGCTGAGTAATATTGTTTACAAGTTGAGATTGACAGTCACTATGAACAAAACATATAAAATTAACTTGTAAATAAATATATCTGCAAAGAATATCTTTACCTTTCTAAGATAACTGCAGCTATTTCTTCATGATCACTATCGATGTCACTTTCATCCATTGGAAACCATGGGCTATAAAAATAGATGTACTAATTTTAAATATCACCAAAAATTATGCAGACTATGTCATACTAATAAAAACTATAGTTTTGATGACCTTTACCTGTATTTAGTTGAGGTATCTTTGGTACTGGTTATTTCTTCAACAGTGGAACCTTTTTCATTAATTAAAAAATGACTGAACTATTAGAAATACAGACAGTATCCAAATTTAAATATAATATGAACAATTTTAATGTTGACTGATAACTAATGTAATATTGTTTCAGCATGACATAAAGTTGGCATTAATACAGGGTATAAATTATCTATTGTTTAGCATTGTGCCTAAAACATATTTTTACTTCAGCTACTTACATTGATTAACATTCGGTTCAGCAATATAATCTGAATCAAGGAGTAGATCTTTTTGACAATCTAAGTCATCTAGCCATGAGACAGGTGGCAACCAGTGGCGTAGCTAGCGGTCTGGCTGGTCGGGCCCAGCCCGACCAAATATTTTCCCAAAAATGAAAAATTTGTTTTCTTTAAAATTGGATTTGCGAAAATTTTAAATTCTGCGACTCTTTTTGGAATAATCCACAGTCTATTAGTGTAATATTTGTCAAATTGCGTCGTTATTAGCAAAATTATCATATTTTTAAACGTTACTTAGCAACAATGACAAGTGCATTTCTAGTGCCAGGCATTACGCAGTTTAGTCGGGCTCTGAAAATTCAGCCCGACCAAGTAGTAAAATCTTTTGTGGGATTATCTGCAATCTGATTGGTTGACAGCAACTGAGCAAACTCAAATGCGTTGTTTCGCAACATCTAGTCGGGCTCTGAAAATTCAGCCCGACCAAGTAGTAAAATCTATAGTGGGATTATCTGCAATCTGATTGGTTAACAGCAACCGAGCAAACTCAAATGCGCTGTTTCGCAACATCTAGTCGGGCTCATTTTCAAAAGCGTGACTTGAATTTTGAGCTTTCGAAATATACGTTCGGAAATCGTGATAACTTACATTACAATGGCTTCGGCTAATGAAATCGATATAATAAGTGAACTACAAAAGAAACCATTTTCTGTTCGACAATCAGGCGAGCAAAATATACTCGTAAAGCAGCGGCCAATTCCAAATTTACAAGCGACTACAGACAATAGAAGCTTTCAGGAAAGTTGGTACTCGAAGAAAGATTGGTTTTGTGGTAGCGCAGAAAAGAATGCATTGTTCTGTTGGCCTTGTCTTTTGTTTTGCCCTGGATCGTCATCTTCATGGACGGAGACGAGATTCAAAAACATGAAGAATTTCCTATCCGATTGTAAGAAGCATGAGAAGGCAAAATCGCACATGGGTGCTTACAAGACCTGGAAGACCTACGGTTTTCAGCCATGCTTACAACCATGGTGGCGCCTCGTGAGCCCGACCAAATGTTTTTCGCTAGCTACGCCACTGGAAACTTGCAATGAAACATGTATAAAGTTCATTAAATAAGTCGCATAAAAAATGTTTGCTATCGTAAACAAACAGCACATTTACTATCTCTCAGTAAGTCAGAGACACCTCTAATCATCTTACTATATCAAGTCATGCGAGTAACATTGTTCCAAGCGTTACCTTGGATACAAATACCGATAATCAGCTAATACAATAATCTTACATACGTATAGATCATGGGATAGACATCTATTCTCACTAATCTGTAGTTTTGGGTAAATACATACAATATATCTCAGTAATACATAAGTACCCATCTCAGGAAATACCCACAGAACATACAGTAAATACATAAATAAATACAAACAATACATACAAACACAAAAGTCCCAAAGTTATGAAAGATTACAAATTCTTATTCTTCGTCCAAATGTTTCAGAAAATGATCACGTGATATAAAAAAAAATACTTATGAATTCCAGACGTAAAGATGTAATTTGCAAATTTCAGAACATAACCATTCATAATTTCTCTAGAAATCTATAGTTTCACCGTCTGAGAGTAGTGAAATTTGAAATTCGTAATGAGTTGGCTATTTTGTAGAATACCAAATAGCCAACTTATTTAGATTATGCTTATCCAGATTATGCCTCTTTCCTAATCTAATTATCTTTAGATCGTCCTTTACAAAAAGATGACCGACAAAGGTAAAAAATCCTGTGTTGAACAAGAGAATAACGTTAAAAAAGATGGTTGTGATGGGCTAGAAGATGGCAACGAAAGATACGACAATGCAGTAGAAAATGAAAGTATGGAAGGTGGTGAAAATACTCAACCAATTCCAAATTTACCCATTCAAGAAACTCTTGCTGAAGAATTTTTGTTTGACCTGCTAGACTTTACAAGAGAAGATAGATGTGCGATGGAAATGCTGAACGAACATTTTGTGTTAAATGTACCATCAACGTTAGAAAAACTTTAAAGATTCGTCAACTTCAACGTAAAATGATTTATACTAAGAGAAATAAATCATGCACATTTTATATTATAAATAGGTTTGTGTAAAACGCAAGAACTCAAGAAAATATTTTGTTTTTACCATTCAATAATCAATGGACGAAAGGCATACTTTAATCTTATGTACTAATGAACCATTTAAAATAATTTGTAAGTTTTTGTAAATCTCTTTCTTAATAATATTTATTTTTATTAATGTGATAATTAATATTTATTGAATGGTAATTTTTTAGTGCCGTCATTTCATGCGTTATAATGTATAAACCACTGATATAAACTCATACATTCCTACATAATTGTTTCCAAAGGAATTATTTATGATGCTAGTTTGCGTCGTGAGAAATTGTCTTCACGATGAAATGGACTGAGTGAAATTTTTTAATTTTAGCAAACCATCCACACTACCAATTATGTATTTTTCCATTGCCAAGTTTACAAATTTTTTAGTATTTACTGCCAGTTGTAGATTCGATAAAAAACAGAATGTTTTGAAATACTCTTTGTAAGGGCTCTTATAGTGAGTTCTATTTTATTTTTTCCTATCACAAGTTTCCAATTATTGTGATGACGACGATTAGCTTTTGTTTTGTGAATTAGTTTAGCCTTCTCTCCATTTATTTCAAAAGACAGCGTTTAAAAGGGAATTCCCCCTTGGCTGTTAAAATCTGGAAAGAAAAACACGTGACCTAAGTCTCTAATATGTATTGAATATTTATATATAGTCAATGGCGCGGTAAATTTATAGTCTTTGTTATTGCGAATGGTAAAGTTGAGATTCTGTATTTATTTGTTGCTTTCAATTGTATTCAGAGCTGCAAAATTTTCGACAATGACTTCACGAAAGCGTTGCTACAATGGATTAAAACATGCCTAACAACATATGATATTATTTTTCATTTTATTCGGTGTACTTTGTGGATTTTTACTCGGCTCTTTATTACATGGCAATGTTCAGTCTCCCATAGATCCAACACCGAAGGAATATGCAATGTACGTTTCGTTTCTTGGTGAGATTTGTGTGAGAGCATTAAGACTTTTGGTTCTTCCTTTGATTGTATCCAGCCTGCTTTTGGCAGTCGCTGAATTGGAGTCAAAACAGAGCGGAAAATTGGGAAGAAGAACATTGCTGTATTATCTTATGACTGCAATGTTTGGGGAGTAATTTGTTTATTTGCATTTAACCTGGAAATGTTAACGTGAAAGAACCAGAACCGAACGAAGAAAAAGTTGAACCAATACATTCTGTGCTTGATCTTATAAGGTTTGTGCGAAATATTCATAAATTTACTGAGTTTGCGCCCTGCTTTTGCTTTTACTGCAAAAATTTTCTTATACGTATAACTTTTATTTCTATTATTTAACGACAATGTTTTTTACTTTTTCAGTATGAACATAATAGCCCAACATAAGATATTTAAAAAAACCATCACAATAATAAAATAAAGAAAGATTAAAGGTTTTTTTAATAATTACGTTTCGCCTTTAACTTAAGACATCTTCAGATTATTTGAGATAAATTATATACATGAGGTTTTAAATACAAGCATATATTACAGGGTGTTAAATTACATGTGAGGGGAGTAGGAAGTTTAGATGACGGAATGAAGAGAGAATGGCGGTATATTAAAGAAGGTGAAGGGGGATTGAGTTGCCTTGGGTGTTAAGAGAGGGTTTAAGTTTGGATATAAGAAGGCTTTCATGAATCATAAGGTCATAATTGTCGGCTTTTTACTTTACTAAAGGAAGCCTTTTTTTATTAGAACGTAAATGCTTCTTTCGCAAAACTGTGCAAGTGTGGAGATTTCCAAGTGCGTAGAAAACCCATTCACCTTCACTATTGTGAAACAATAATAAATACATTTACGATATTAGTTGTAAATACATTTTATTATGTCATATGAACCATACCAAAGAGAACAAAGGTAATGCTACAAGATCCAAATAAGAACATCTAGATTTTAAATGGATAAGTTAATCTGAAACACAGCCTTTACAACAATCACCTTGAAATATAAAAATTGCAATAAACCTTCCACACTCTACTCATCACACACTCAATTTCACATCTCTTTGAGACAGTGAGTGGAAGGTTTATTGAAATTTTTGAATTTCAAAGTCAATAAGATCTTTACTCCTTTTGAATTTTAAAACTAATTTAATATTAATGACAATTTTTTTTGAAATAGACATGTTTCGACAAAGTCGACATGCGGAAAGTCGACATGCGGAAAAGGAGAATGCTTAGGAGAATGGAAGTCGACATGCGGAAAGTCGACTTCGTTGAAGCAGAAGGGAGAATTGTATAAGGCATGTGTTAGAAGTGTTTTGGGATATGGAGCAGAGTGTTGGGCGCCGAAAGCAGAGGACCTGAGAAGATTGGCGTCGACGGAAAGGAGAATGCTTAGGATGATGTGTGGTGTAACGTTGATGGATAGGATTCGAAGTGAAGAGATTAGAGAAAGAGTTGGTGTTGAGTGTATCGAGAATTGGGTAAGACGCCAGCGTTTGAGGTGGTTTGGGCATGTGGAAAGGAGGGAAGAAAGTGCTGAAATTCGTAGAACGTTGCATATGAATGTTGATGGAGTCCGCAAACGAGGTAGACCGAGAAAGAGATGGATGGATGTTGTGAACAGTGATATGAAGGCGATGGGTATAACGAGAGATATGGCGAGAGATAGAGATGTGTGGCGTGGAAAAATTCATGGACCGGTCAACCCCCCTGGCGGGGATTAATACTGGCCGGTATATAAATGTTGTTTGTTTTGTTTGTATGTTTCGACATCTCATGATGCCATCTTCAGTATGAGTGAAATAATAGGTGATAAATAAGATATATTAATGGTGAGCACCTGAGCGTATTATAAACTAAATATTGTATTGAATTTAAAAACTTGAACATTGAGGTCAGGGTTAGTTTTGTTAATGTGGAGTGTTTCTTTGATTTTAAGGGAGAATGAGGTGTCAGCAGTGTCGATGATTTTAAAGCAAGAGGGTGAATAATGGTTTTACACAAGCGAGATTTAAGAAGGTGTTGGTAGATATGAGATTTAAAAACTTGATGTTCAAGTTTTTAAATTCAACACAATATGACAGATCATTCTCATTGAAATGCATTAAATTGAAATATTGCTACATAAACACAATGAGGATGAACATTTTGATGTTCAAGAAAACAAGATTTAATTATTTATAGATGTTCCAAATGTGCACAGCAATGTAATTATATCTTACAATAGCTGTACCAGGCCTAAATAACATACAATGATAAAAAATCTTTTGAAAATTTTACTGTATGATTGTAAACTGTTTTCTTCTTTAAGATAAATTCCATTTCACCACCTACCTATGTTGTCACGACAACAACAATGAATCAAGAAGAAGGTTTAAAAGCTTTGGAAACATCTATCAAAGCCATTGAAGAAGTCATTATGAACAAGAAAGGAACATTTGTTTTACAACAAGCTGTAAGTGTTTGGTTTATATTTCTATGAAAAGTATATTGTATCACTAAAATGACATCCTCCTGGTACCTCTACTGTCCTCATATCATCCTGTTACCACTTCCCTAAGTACACCATGCTGTATTAAGACGGACATATTCAATCATTAGTCGTTTATTTGAAAATTACAATGACACCATCCCAATGCATTCAATTCAATAATATTAGGACCCTGTGACATTGGTAATAATTTATGTTAACTGTCCACAAAAATTAGTTTTTTCTAAAGCTAATATTGCATTGTGATAACCAGTGTGCAAATTAGTTGAGAAAAAACGATGTGCAATTTGTTTTTGACAAAAGTGTTTGTTTAGAGGCATAAGCAAATCGATATTACGTTCATTACTATATGTAGCGCTATTTGCTAAATTATTGTTTTTAAACATGAACAAATTCATATGATTTACGACAGTGTTTTTCTTTACAACCGCTGATCCAGTTACAAATGTATGAGAGAAATTTTTTGTGCATGTTATTCTCTCCTCTTTTTTGTGCAAACTTTACAGCGCAATAAATTCACCACTTGGCCATCATCCTAGTAATCAAACAAGTCAGCATTTGATGTTTCCATCCATTTTTTACTCTATTAACTTTGCTGGTAGCTACAACCTTTCGATGAAATTGGCAAGAATGACAAAAGTGAAAAGAGAATAACCGAATTTACTTTTTCTTTCTGATTATTAACAGTAACATCCTTGATGTTTACTTACGATGAAAAACATCATATTTATGTCATATTACAAACAATACGTAAAAGCAAAAAGTATGGCTAATCAAGGTTGCCAGTTTGGATTAATGTTTTGAGCCAAATTTGGCTTCTTTTTCTCTTGTTAGGCTTATTTAAAATCAATGATATCACCAGTGTGCGAATTAACGGTGTGCAATGCGCAATTTGCACATCGTTTTAGCTAGAATGAAAACAATTGCACATCACTTTTTCAAACGATATGCAAAAAACTTCTTTATTGATTACTACCACATAAATTGAAAAAAGTTTTCAAGCTTAATCTTTACTGATCTTTACTTTATAAAGGAGTGCGCTGCACGACATTAAAATCCATGTTGACACAATGTCATCAAATTCAAAGACGTTGTCACTGAGACTGGTAAGTCTGTCAACAGTCTACATACATGGTGCTTATATGCTTATGACATTAGGGGTGTAATACATTATTAATGTCAATTTTTGCATTTGCGTTGTTTTGTAAACCGTTACGTACTGTTTTTGGCATCATAGCTATTTTGAGTATTTTCAGTAAAATCAGGAAATATTTTGATTTTGATTCTTGAAAGAAGACAAAAAAACTGTAATAAGCCAAATTTGAAAAATAAACCAAAAGGAATTTTGATTTTAAATAAGCCTAACGTGAGAAAAACATTAATGGCTCAAAACATTAAGCCAAACTGGCGACCTTGATTAGCCATACTTTTTGCTTTTACATATTGCTTGTAATATGACAAAAATATGATGTTTTCTATCGTAAGTAAACATCAAGGATGTTACTGTTAATAATCAAAAAGCAAAAGTATATTCGATGTTTCTCTTTTCACTTTTGTCTTTCTTGCCATTTTCTTCGAAAGGTTGTAGTTACCAGCAAAGTTAATACAGTAAAAAAATGGATGGAAACATCAAATGATGACTTGTTTGAGTGCTAGGATGATGGCCAAGTGGTGAATTTATTGCGCTGTAAAGTTTGCACAAAAAAGACGAGGGAATAACATGCACAAAAAATTTCTCTCATACAGCTGGATCAGCTGTTGTAACGAAAAACACTGTCGTAAATCATATGAAT